AGAGAGAGAGAGAGAGAGAGAGAGAGAGAGTGAGTGAGTGAGTGAGAAAGAGAGACAGAGAGGCAGAGGCAGATAAGGCAGAAAAACTGACAGAAAAGAACGAAAGAACGAAGCGAAAAGAAAAACGAGAGAAGAAAACAGATTTTGGGGATCTCAAAAGGACACCAAAAAAGTGTCACTTATTATGCAACAGTTGTAGGTGGAATAACATAAAAATACTTACTGTGTATTCGGATAACTTCTGTAATCTATCGTCATCCAAAACGCGTAAAACGATCTTTTTTTTTCAAATAGCAAGTTGTAAGTTGGGAGAATCCTTTCGTAGGCCTCACCCACAGTGACAACAGAAGACAGTTGCCCTAGAACATAAACAAACAAAGCGCGCGCGCGCGCGGAAGCTTAGGGCGATATCACCCGTCGGCCTTGTATGTGACAGGCCAGTTTCTCACCCGCTCGCTCGCGCGCTCGTTCACGTCAATACTCACCGAGTCCGATCTCACGAGCAGAGTTGAGGTGGTCACACACGACGCCTGGGTAGATGCACTCACTCACGGAGGCTTTCTGGCGAGCGATGGCGCGGCGTTATTGGCGGAGGGCTGGGCAGGCTAGAGATTCCACCTGGAGATACACCTACTTTCTATTATCCGGATCATACTCCGTACCCATTTTCAAATAACCGGACAATTTGACGCGTGCACAGTGAATGCAAAGTGCTTTTTTTTCCTTTGGAGTAAAGAGAAGCACATCGATGTCGTAACGACAATTTAGTGCAGAAAATGAAACGATAGATAAACAGAGGCAACAGGGGGATAGGGTGCAGAAGGCCGGGGGTGGGGGGGTTTGGTTTATGTGGGGTATGTGTTAGTATGGGGGCTGTGTGTGTGTGTGTGTGTGTGTGTGTTTGTATGTGTGTGTAGTTTGTTTGTTTGTTTGTTTTTGTTTGTGTGTTATTTTTGTTGGGTTTGTTTCGTTTTGGTTTTGTTTTGTTGTTTGTTTGTTTGTTTGTTTATTTGTTTGTTGGCCGTTGTTGCTGTTTGTTTTGTTGGTTTGGGGTTTGTTTGTTG